CCCCAAAACCCCAAAACCCCAAAACCCCAAAACCCCGTTAACTAGTACTCAAATTGAAACAAAATAATAAGTAGTAATAATTAGCTTTTATGTATTTTCTGGTATGCTTAGGGATGTCTGATGAGTTTCACCTTCCTCTTCCTTATCTTTCAGAGCATCCATCAGGCTAAGGTCATCTTTAGACTCAAGATTGGAAAGCTTTAAGCTAACATCAAGCACTGGTTCGGGAGTGGGTCTACTGGAGTATTGCTTTAAAAGCCCTATTTGGTCAAGAGCTTGAACCAGCTGGGTATCATCATCCCTCTCCTCTGCGAAGGTTTTCATACTGTTTAACATAGCCTTTTGATACTCATCCTTTTCTTTGTAAGTTAAATTTTTGAGTCGCTTTTTATGCTCCAGTATGAGTTGATCTTTAGTAGAGCCACCAAATTGTCGAAGACTCGGGTGTTCACCAGGTTGATTATTTTCTATAACTTCGAAGATTTTTTCAAAATCTGTGTTATCAAGTTCAGGTAATCTTTCACCTTGAAGGGCATCAAGAGCTTCATCTTGGAGAAGCTCTTCGAGCTGCTCCTCTGTCTGCTCTTCAATCATCTCGATATTTAAAAGATTACAAAAGAAAATAGTTGCAGAGTCATAGAAGAATTTGGGCCTCTCGCTATTATGATCACCTTCAAACTCGGTGAGTCCTTTCTCACCTTTGTAAGCATTAAACAATTTTTCTGAATGTGAAGGATCGACAAAGTCATCAATATCTCCGTAGAAGAACCTTCAGGGAACTGTGCACTTTTTGGCGTATTTTATGATATCAAGTTTGTTGATATCGAACTTAGCCTTCTTGCGCACTGTTCTTCTCATGAGCGTTAAGCCAATCTTTCAGACAAAAACTGGCATTTTACTATGATACTGACAAAGTTCGACTCATAATTTCCTAAAATTTGAGAAAGGAGAGTCAAGGACCATCCCAGTAACTGTTGGGTCTTCACAAGAATACAGAATAGCAGCAACTGCCCCCATAGATTGTCCCCAAAGTCCGATTGAGGAAACGCTAAATTGGGATCTGAGGTATTCAACTCAGGTGGCAATGTCATCTTTTTCGTTCCAGCCAAGACTCACATATTCCCCTTCTGACCTTCCGCTACCTGCAAAATCAAGTGTAAATACAGTGATATTATGAGGCAGCAGGCTTTGGACTATCGGAAGAGCATCTAGCCGGCTGCCTCAATTGCCATGGCAGAATATAACACAAGGGAGTTCCTTGTCTGTTCTCTCCTTAGCATCCGGCTCGTAATGGCTACATTGTAAATTATGTCCTTGAGGGTTGATTAAGTTAATATCTTTTCTGTAGTAGTTCTTGGCTCTGATCTGAAACTTCTTCTCGCCTATATCTTCCATCGTATATTCCTCCCTCGGAGGTCTGATGATCGAGTTAACTAGTTCTTTATAACTCCTGACGTTGGTGTCCATTCAAATTTAGAAAATAAAATTGTTTCAAGAAATATAAGATTTACGGGGTTTTGGGGTTTTGGGGTTTTGGGGTTTTGGGG